GAGCATGTTTGGTGTGACGGGGATTTGAACCCGCGACCCTCAGATTGCGAGTCGAGCGCCTTAACCACATGGCCATGCCGAGCCAGATATAAGGAACTACGTGGCATAGTCGCTCTATCTCCGGTGTATATGCAGTTTTTCAACAATTCAGAGCGTCCCAAAGTTGAAAACAGGCAAATTGCCAAAACCGGGACTTCTTATTTTCGTTCATCATCATCATCTTTCTTGAACAGGCCTAGCACCTACCTAGTTATACCAGTAACTATAATCTTATCATCATTTGATAGAGAAAAACAGTCTTCACGATTTTTTAACTACCTATTTTTTTATTATTATATGCACAATTTATAAAGCTTCAGAATAGACTCTATAACCTAGTAACCCACCAACGCCATCTTATAAAAAAATAAACAAATAAGTGTTAGGAAAGAAATTTATCGCTAGATAAACGGTTATGTATGACTGGCTACTGAACTTGTAAAAACGAACTAAACAAGATAGGGATGGAAGTGGACATATCACTTGATCCAGCTAATGATAACATAGCAGACTTGACTTTAGATGTAGAATAAAATCCTTACATTACTGGTTTACTCACTGACAAAACAAATAGAACTAGAATTTCCAATCGTTACTCTATTGTAAAATAGTCATAACATTTTTTTCCTCATATTATAGCCTCACAGTGGCACAGCGGCATGTCTGCGGACTTATAACGTTAGAAACCAGGTTTGAATACCCTTGGTAGGCAAAGCACAAATAGCCTATTACTTAGTTTTGTGCTTAAGTACAAAGAAACCTGATACTATTATGTATGCTGCCATTCATTGTAAATTAACGCAGTTTTTTAAGATGTCAGGACTGAAAATAAAAGACTTCAAATTAACGAGTGAGAAAATGAGTCATCTTCAAACTGGTAGCTCTCTGTTATCAGAGTTCTGTTTTACGTGATTTATATGTCGTCTTTGTTTGAAATGACCGGTTGGGTGTATTGACGAAATAATGAGAACTTAGACAGATTTTTAATTTGTCAAATGCATACCATGTTTTGGCTTCATTCGTCTTGTAAATTTATATTTTACTTATAATTGAAATTATAACACCAAAAACAAACCTTTCTGTTTTCATGATAATCAATAACGTAATCAAGAAGTAGCATTACTATTCTACTGGTAGTCACTATTAACATCAAGAAATAATATTTCTTTTTTACTGGTACTCGCTATCATAACATCAAGAAGTAACATTTCTTTTTTTTTTTTTTACTTTTAGTCTATATTAAAAATCAAAAAATTTTGTTTGTTTGAAGTTAAGCACGAAGCTACACAATTGGCTATCTGTGCTCTGCCCAGATTCTAGCATTGTAAGTCCGCAGACTTACTGCTGTGTCACTGGGGGACTTTTTTAACGAACACCTCAAAATTAGAAGAACTGATATATGGAGCACGGCCTGGTGGTTAGGGCGCTCAACTCGCGATCTGCCGATAGCCCAAGAGTTGACGGTGGATGGTTTTGACTGGCTGCCTTCCCTCTGGTCTATCACTATTAAATTAAGGACGGTTAGCGCAGATAGACTTCGTGTAGCTTTGCACGAAATTCAAAAGAAACCAAACCGATACGTATATGTTACGACTTTTTCCCAGTAACTGGGTGACTGGAGATGTTTGTATCTGTAAAGAGAGAGGGATTTTTTTTCTTGTTTTTTCTTCGAAGCTATTAAACTGTAAAAAAGTACCTTGTTTAGCTGACATGAAAAATATTGTAGCTATTCTCCGCCGTTTTTCTGCTTTCTTTAAGTGTTTTTTTTTTCAAAGCTGTATTGTGTTTTTTGCTAATGTACCTTAAACTTATGAAACCGATGTAATCACATACAGATTGTATGGTCACGCAATCTAGATTGCACTGTTACTAACTAGTAAATGATTAATCTCAATTTTCATGTTAAATTTTGAATACTTCATCCGTTACCTCAAGAAATAAAAAATTGCAAAATGTATTATGCATTAAAAATAGAAAATCAACAGAAATTAAAGATATATTTTTAATTAATTTGAAACCATAACCTTCAGTAACATATACGTAGTTGAAAAGTTTTAAATTTTATTCAAAAACTTAATTTCATGACACGTTGTTTTAAAGTTGATATAGCTTAGCTGGTGTTATTTTAAAATTGAAATAGCTTAGCTGGTATTATTTTAAGTTGAAATAGTTTAGCTGCTATTATTTTGAAGTCGAAGTACTTTAGTTGCTATTACTTTTAAGTTGAAGTAACTTAGCTGCTATTATTTTTACGTTGAAATAGTTTAGCTGCTATTATTTTTAAGTTGAAGTAGTTTAGCTGCTATTATTTTTCAGTTGAAGTAGCTTAAGTGCTATTATTTTTAAGTTGAAGTACTTTAGCTACTATTATTTTTAATTTTTAGTAGTTTAGCCGCTACCATTTTTAAGTTGAAGTACTTTAGCTGATATTATTTTTAAGTTGAAGTATTTTAGCTGTTATTATTTTAACTTGAAGTAATTTAGCTCTTATTATTCTCAAGTCGAAGTACTTTAGCTGTTATTATTTTAACTTGAAGTAATTTAGCTCTTATTATTCTCAAGTCGAAGTACTTTAGCTGTTATTATTTTAACTTGAAGTAATTTAGCTGCTATCATTTCTAAGTTCAAGTAACTTAGCTGCTATTATTTTGAAGTTGAAGTAGTTTAACTGCTATTATTTTTTTGTTTCTTTGTTTGTAATTGAGCACAAAGCTGCACAATGGACTATCTGTGCTCTGCCCACCACGGATACTGAAACCCGGATTCTAGCGTTGTAAGTCCTCAGACATACCGCTGTGCCACTGGGGGCACTATTATTATTTTTTTTTAGTTGAAGTACTTTAACTGCTGTTATTTTTAAGTTGAAGTATTTTAGCTGTTATTATTTTAACTTGAAGTAAATTAGCTGCTATCATTTTTAAGTTGAAGTAGTTTAACTGCCATTATTTTTAAGTTGAAGTAGTTTAACTGCTATTAATTTTTGTTTGTTTGTAATTGAGCACAAAGCTGCACAATGGACTATCTGTGCTCTGCCCACCACGGGTACTGAAACCCGGATTCTAGCGTTGTAAGTCCTCAGACATACCGCTGTGCCACTGGGGGCACTATTATTATTTTTTTTAGTTGAAGTACTTTAACTGCTATTATTTTAAGTTGAAGTATTTTAGCTGCTATTATTTTTAAGTTGAAGTAGTTTAACTGCCATTATTTTTAAGTTGAAGTAGTTTAGCTGCCATTATTTTGATTAAGAAGGTCACTACGTAATGAATTCTACCAAATCGCTCAAAACAAGAGAGTTACGTAGCCAGTGGTTAGTGTACTTGCTCGTGAGATCTAAGATTAAAACTCCGTGATAATGTCGCTGAGCACGCTCCACACTTCCAATTGTGGGCTCATTACAAAAGGGGTAGTCAATCCTGCTATTCGGTTTAAAGTATCCATGCAGGCGACGGATGCTGCTGACTTGTTATCCCCCACTCCCTCTGGTCACCAGTTGTAAATTAGGGACGGCTATACCTATTTAGCCCATGTGTCGCATTAGATGCCAATAATGGTTGAAAATATTAAATACATTATAACTCGGAGTAATGAAACGCGAGTGACGAGCATCAGAACTGACAGTCCAGCATATGTACATTCTTGTCGACGGCTGTGGACTGGAATCTCGTTAAACATTTTCAAAATCAGTTAACTGGACCATCGACCACACTAGTAATATCCTGTATAGTATTGTACGATATCCAAACATTTCAAGGAGTTCTAGACTACCCAGTAAATCACTGTCTCTCATTTCTAAAAGAGTTGTGTCACAAATCTCGATTTTTGTGTTTTCG